GAGTTTGTGCCACATTAGTAGCAGGGTGTATATTGAGTAACCGGACTGTGGGCTAGAGGTAGTTACCTGCAAAAGTTGAGTTAAAAAATTCACACATGTCCGCAGAATTAGTGCATAGCCTACCTTTGTCTATGAGGAGGGAAATGCTGTGATTTTTGCGATTCATTCGCTTCTTTAAGATTTCTGTGAGTGCATACACTCCTGCAGGACTGGCTACTGCGATGCGTATCTATAATCTAGCCCACGTTATGGATGAGTTACTGTTACAGTGCTTTCTTATAACGTTGAATAAAAGTAATAAGTTGCACCTCACTCTCCTTAAACATAAGGGTTCTAAGTCCAGTCGAATACATCTATCAAGGTATTCTATTTGCGGGCGTTGATATGGCATATCCATTCTTTGAAGTGGTGCCTCCAGCTTTACCTTGAGGACATTTTCGCGGTCTAGTTAATTTCAGTTTGGCTGATTCGTTTCGTTTGATCTAGGTGGCTGCATTTTACGTGATTCCGGTTTTTGCTTGGCTAAAACTGTGTTGATTTTGTTAAGAATAGTCGTCATAAGCTGTCTCTAAGCCTGAAGGCAATCATCGTGCAGGAGGATGCTTGAGAATGTGTTTCATGTATAGGGTGCACCTAAAATCCTTGGTGTTAACTCCTGTTTGTGGCGTCTCAGTGATTTCTGCAGAGCTTCGTTTTATCACTTGTGCCCATATTTGTTGTTCACGAGTGTTTCAGTAAGTGTTTGTGGCTATAATCAGGAACTTTCCAAAACGGTAATTGTGGTAAGGAATTTATATTTTTTCCGCTACAGTTTCCAAGTCACTGTCACTTCCAAGTTGCTTATTGTACTCTGTTGCCAATTCGTGAAACTTTAATTCAAGAGCTTCTGTTTTCATTTACAGTGGTACCGAATGAACGCATTGGCACCCGGAGACAATGGCAACCAACCTGCCCCTCCTATATCACTGGATATCAAAAAATCTTTGGACAGAATTATGTTTAGTCACCGGTATATTAGTTGGGTTCAAGTAGAAGATGCTCTAAGTCAGCTGGAATCAGTACGATATATATGTATCACAGAGTATTCCTAGGCAACTCATACACATTATGTAATCAAGAAGTGCATACGAAACCATGAATCTCAGGAGTTGAAGTACAAATAAGCAGTCTTTCGTTGTACATATGGCATGAAGCGAAAAACTAGAGGTTCAGGTTCACGCGTCAAACTGTAGGAATTCTGTTATTTATTTCTGCAGTGCAAAATACACCGGTTGCCAATCTCGCTTTCGTATACGCTACAAGGAGGACGAGTTTATCATTTGTTCCGCGAAAACAGTTCACAATCACAGATGTGATCAGAGTCTTATGATAGGTGATCCATATTTTAGACGCCTGTCAGACGATGAAAAGGAGAATGTTGCACCTGTTGTGAAGACTACATCTGAGGTTGGTGATGTTTTGGAATATGCTGAAGAGAATTTTAATAAAATTTTGACGAGCACAGATGTGTATAATTTACGTAAGGATGTGATACCAGGTAAGTGGTGTAGTTTAAAGTTATTTTGGAAGCCATTTGGAAGCCGTAATCGTCGGATGGGCATAGAGTTGTATACTGATGATATGGCTATCATAAATGACGGCATATACCTGCACCAAGTAGATTATGCCAATTCAACTGGTACCTGCAGAATTTTTAGGGCACAAAGAATACCTTGCCGACATATGCTGCTGTGTCACACTCAAATTCCTCAGTTTACAGGTAAATCAAACTCTCACTGATATTTAAATTAATACTTTTAGTTGACAAAGTAATTCACCTGTGTCACAGATGGTTTTGGCGTGATCCGTTACTACCAAGTAGTATGCCATGTGAAAGTTCAGTAAAGAAACCCTGCAGGGAAATACTGCAACTTCGCCGGCCATAGAACAGAAGCTCCGCAGTTAGGCATGATAATTACAGTAATGAATACACTATTGGTGCACTGCGCGCAACCCTGAGTTACTTTGAGAATTTTCTTGTCTGAAAATGGAAGATGTACATATATTTTGTGTCAGTAACTGCAAATATACCCTAACTTCTAAACTGTATACGCCTTATGTAATGTTTCACTTTATGTAAATGTAGTTACATACAGTTGCACTAAGAACTCAGTGCAACTCGACGCACAGTAGTATATACACAAATAAACTGAAAAAAAACGTCCTCCTTACCTTCTGAATAGCTTGTCCTTATTCCAGGATAATAACTTTCTTTCACATATGAGCCTGAGTTATGTCTAAGAAATCACAATATTACATCAGTTAAATCTTCCCCCCAAAACCAAGGCCACTTGAAACCAATAACAACAAAGCAACAAGCGTCATTGAGGGGATATGCAATAAAGTCGTTCTCTGTTTGCTGATCATAGCCTAATATGCGTTTCGTCAGGAATCTTTGGACACTTTCAACTTTTTTCTCTCTGCTGATTTAAAGCTACTGTATAATTGGGCACAATATTCATGTTTGGGGCGAATACGTATCTTATATGTAGCCAATCTGTCTTCTAGAGTGTAAAAGTCGCGTAGCACAAAGCCGGTTAGACGTTTACAATCAGACACAACCTTATTTGCATGTTCAGTAAAGGCAAGATCTGAGTATGTTACACCGAGATCAGTGACTGTGTTTGTGTTTGAGACAAGGTCAACCTACATGTATTGACACATGTTAGGTTTCCAACGTCCGAAGTATGTTATCCCAGACTTAGCTGGATTGAACGTTAACTGCCACTAATCACTCCAGTTACATAGTTCTTGTTGGATTTTACTAGCAATATTTATATCATTATAGTCAAAATCATATACAACTTTGAGGTTATCTGCAAAGAGGTACGGCTTGCCATACTTGACCACAGAGACAATATCATTTATGAACACAATGAATAGGGTAGGGCCAAGAACGCTATATTGTATCACGCCACTGGTTATTGGTTTGGATGTAGATAAGTCATGGTTGATTTTAACTAACTGTTCTCTTCCTGTTAGAAGGGAAGTTATCCACTCGAGTAGCCTTCCACTAATTCCATAAGATAGGATTTTCAGTATGAGTCTCTTATGTGGGACCTTATCAAAAGCTTTCCTAACATCTAGAAATAGTGTTGCTGCCGAACGACCTATGTCTACACATTCAGTTATGTGGTCGAAATAATCTAACTGGCAAGTGATGCACAACCTTCTATTTAAGAAACCGTATTGGAAAGGGGATATTAAGTCATTCGAAAGCAAATACTGAGCAATTTGCTTCTTAAAAAGCCGCCACCCTATTGGGGGCGGTCTGTGAGTGTAGTTAAAACATGCGCGCATTGGGGAACAAAATGACGGTATTACTTCACTTTACCTAGAAACGTGCATTTAAATTTCAGGGACACCGGCTATGAGAAGTCTTCAATTGTCTGCACCTTTCCAGGTTAAGGGCGAATGCCATGTTCATTAATTACAGGCCCAAGAAAAGTCAACGAACGGACACCTTTCCGGCGTTTATCCACGTTGAGTATCAAACAACATGTTAGGAATTTCTCGAAAACCACCTTCAAATGAACACGGTGAGTCTCTTAATCTGGACTAGCCACGAGCACATCATCCAGATATGCATAAGCGTAATCCAATCAGTGCAAAACTTCGTGGATGAAACGTTGGAACTTCTGAGCTGCATTGCGAAGACCAAAAGGCATTCGAAGGAATTCGAAGAGGACAAACGAAGTAATCACTGCTGTTTTAGGGACATCCTCATGGCGAACTGGGATTTGATGGTAAGCTTTCGTCACGCCAAGTTTGTTGAACACTGTAGCACCCTTGAGAGATGTCAGATCGTGCATGTTTGGGACAGGATGAAGACACGAAACAGTCTGAGCGTTGAGCCTGCGGTGATCACCACAAGGTCTCCAGTCCATCCCCTTATTTTTGGGCACTATGTGTAAGGTAAAGACCACGGACTGCTAGATTGTCGGATTATCCCCATCTAACATCCGTTCAAACTCTGGCTTAACTATTCGGTATTTTTTTCGGGATAAATGTCGTGGCTTTACAAAAACAGGTGGGCCGGCAGTTAAAATATGATGAGTGACATTAGAAGCCATGCATGGGAATTCGGGAGATGGTTTGAAAAGGTTGACAAAAGATTGAAGGACGTCAGAGTGTGGGCCAGTAATAGCAAGTGTCGAATACACTAGAGAGGCCTGTGCGTGACATAGACTGTTAGCTTTGTGGATGAATCGATCAACTTGTGTTTGCCGGCATCTTCTAGTAACTGATACTGCTGCAAAAGACCCATACCAATGATACCGGTGAACACATCTGCCACGATAAAAACCCGGCGAAATGAGCAATGCATGCCAATGTTAAGGTTTAGGAACTTTCTACCATACGTTGTGATAGACGAACCTTTTGCTGCGCGGAGCTGTTAAGATATTCTTCGCAGGCGCCCTTCGGTTGTGGGTCGAATCACGCTAGCCCCCGCCCCGGCGTCAACTAGGGAGCGTGTCCCAGTGTTACGGTCTGTAACGTATAAGAGGCGATATGGAAGCGACGTTTGTCGCCCATACGTGTTGGCCCACTAGTTTCCTGAATGTCTGGCATCAAAGATGCAAGACATAGTGCACCATATAACTGCGTTAGAACAAAAAAGTTCAAGTATTTAAGGTGCACTACACCAGTTTCATATTATGCCTACTAAGTGGTGATACAACTGGGTCATTTATTCTGCTAGAACACAAGAAAGGTGAATCATCCGAAGTTCGCAGGATGGTAAAAATTTCTTTCATTCCACATGGAAATCAGATTCTCGTATAGGGCAATTTCAGAACTAAACATCATGACAGTACTAAATATATCGTCTTCGTCAGTGTGAAATTTAAGGATAACAATGAATGTGAAAACGAATATGAAGTACAAAACTTGAAAGGAACAACAGATCTAATAGACTATATTTCTGAAGACTAAACACTGAATATTCAGTAACCTGAAAGGTGAAGGCCGATGAGCGCCACTTTCACAAGTATGTGAACATGTGCAGGTACAGATTGTCAGGATTAATTTTTAGGAGACTGTTTGTTCACGCTGCTTGTTGGTGCGGTCGAACAATCTCCCATTTAAGAAATAAGGGTTCCCGAGACTTTTGTACCCCTTCTATAGCCTGGGTCTTGTAATTCATAACAGAATAGTCACTGATCGGTGACGTTTTACTATGAAAACAGTAGTTTCTGTTGATAATGAACATCAGACGATTAAGGGACAAAAGGATTTTGGAATTATGCTCAATTATAACCCAGAAATAGCCGCAGATTGTAGTACAGTTGTGAACAAGGCTTTGCAAGCTCATAGATAAGTTTGTACACAAACTTATATGGAATTCCACATCTGTCTGTTAATAAGGTTTGCTTTGGACTCATTATCCGGATTCGTTATAAAGTCGGCGGTACAGAAACTATCAATCACCAACGATGATGGTTGGTATCCCACACCATGGTGACCCGAGGTACCGACTCGGCACACGTATTAAGCAGTGATAGAAAGACTTGTCGTATGGCCCTAAACACAAAAGAGAAAGAGAGGAAAATACTAAAGAATTAAAGCATTGTAATCACGATGAAAATAAAGCATATACACTGACCTGACTGACAGAATTCAGTATGCACCGGAGATAGGACTAAACACATTACACTAGTTACTGACTAGTGTCCAGTCAAAAATATCCAATACAGTCCTACAGGAGGTCAATCGCGAGCCCGATTAGCTCAGTGGTAACGTCTCTGACCGCAGCACTGGGTAACCTGGGTTCGAACCTCAGAAGGGACATGAGTTCCTTCGAGGTTTCAGATACGCCCTGCTGATGAGTGCCAGCTAGCACGAAACCTAGGTCCAAGGCTTCCTGCCGATTGCCTCCGACCACTTAATACGAAGCATATACATTAGTGTGGTAAATGTTTAGTCTACCACTACAAGTCTCCTAACAACATTGGTTCTAATGGTTTTGCAGATGTTTTGTAAACAGTTGACATTTCCCTAGGCAATCTTAGTGACTTCACTGGTTGGCGGCAAGTGTTACCTCAGTACACTTCGCTTTTATTAACCCACCTGTGTGTAGTGCGTTGATAGATTTAATTCTGTTTGGTCCCTAACTGAGGTTAAAACAGCTCTCACTAGTCTGAAACGAGGCAAAGCTACGGGACCCGATGGAATGACTCCAGAGGTGTCCAAGGACGGTAGAGACAGTTTACTGTCTGCGTTAACTAATGTACTAGGAAGCGTCTGGGAATCAGAGGAAGTCCCGTCGGGTTGGTGTAAGTCATTGACTATGCGAGAAGGGAGACAAGTCTTCCTGTGATAATCACAGGGGGATTAGCTTGACTAATATGGTATCTAAAGCTCTAGGTTTAAAAATCATGCGTAGACTAATTGGTACTCGAAAGACACAAACACGAGAGAACAAGTCAGGCTTTAGACCAGGAAGATGGTGTATTGATCATATCTCTACCGTTTGACAGATTCTGGAACATAGACATAATTACCGGCAACCTGAAAACAACAATAAATTCCGTCAACTGAGAAGTACTATGGCGATGTTCGGATGTGAAAGGAATGCCAAGAAAATAAGTCGCACTGATCAAGGCACTCTACTCGAACTCATGCATCCAGGTAAGAGCCTACGAAGAGTTGTCAAATGGAAAGGTGACACCCAGTGGTGCCTGTTAGGGATGCCCACTGTCCCCATTTCTATTCAATTTCGTCATAGATGTACTAATAAACTTAACCCTAACTGACTTCAGCGACTCAGGGATTGACTTGTTACCAGGGAATAGTCTCCTTGCCTTGGAATATGCATATGATATACTCCTAGGTGAAGATGGTGACAAAATGCAGAGTCTTCTGAACACCTTGAGCTGCCATCTTCGAATGTTTGTCATGCGATGCTTAAGGACTGTACCTGATTGACTTCTAGCTTTAAAGGTAGGGAGTAAAGTGGTAGAGCGTGTCGGATAGTTCACTTTTTTTGGAAGTTGTATCAGCCAGTCCCAGCGGGTTGATCGCTGACGAAATCTCAGCACAGATACAGAAGGCCCGTTTTGCATATGCCTGCTTACGCCGTCTCTGGCGAAGACGTGATATCCGGCTATCAACCAAAGGGTGTGTGTACTGCTCAGCAGTCCGCTCTGTCCTCTTCTACGGTCAAACCGAAACCAAAATGGCTTCATCAGTCAATGAAATCCACAACAGTCAGTTTAAGCCAGTCACGTACGAAGGTGTAGACTGCTGTCTGGTTAGGGTCCTCGGGACGGTAAACACCAGTGGCTGGAGACAACTGGTGATGGCGCAGATGTATCCACTCCTTGTGACTTATAATACCCAATAAAATTATATTGTTTTCGATATTACTATTCTTTTTGCCTCTTATCTCTGTTTACTTTATCTATTTTGAATTTCTTTTTACTTTCTTCTCTTGCTTTTTGTGCTGAGTGAAGTGTGGTGACTTGAACTGCTGCACATCGGTGCAAAGTCCCACGTTGAAATCAGTCAGTTTGATCCCAACCTTATGGAAATTCACTTGTTACTAGATTTTATGGTTGATATAGAATACTCAGATGGTAAATTAACTTTGGGCGAAGACAATGATAAAATGGAATTTTCTAACTATCAATAATGAGAAGTCTGAGTGCGGTTGACACTCAGGTCTTCCCTGCTGAGTATAAACAGTTTCAGGATTATTCGGTCAAATCGTGATTACAGTTCGTGTAAATGTTTCAGGACTGGTTTGAATTTTTTTCATAAATCCACATTATAGGAAATATTAGAGTTTTCCATTGTAGTAGTTTAACAAGCAGTAAAGTGTATTTAGATATATGACCAGAACACTAGGAGATATACTCTAGATCTGTTTATAATAGTTCTTAGGATGTATATTCACCTAAAACCGACGAATTCACAAATGACTCGGTTTCGTAAATGGAAATACATTCATCTTCATTGTGGAAGCCTAACTAAATATCAATGCAACACGAGTAGTAGCCTTCAAAATATAAATAAGAGGAACATATTGAGCTTCGGTCCAGTGAGCATTATATTATTTGTATCCTTTGAGTTCGCAGTGGAACATAGGGCTTCAAGTTTCAATAACACTAATATTGTTTTTATAGGGTAGGGTTTCTAGCCTCACACCCAACCTTCCCTTTCTACTGGGCTTACTACTGACTAGATGATGTAAACGAGTGCATCGATCGGGGATCGAACTCCACACCACTTGCCTGGTAGGCCAATGTCATGCCACCTAACCACACACGTTATCAGTTTTTGAGATTTGATTTTGAACTACCACTTTATGATTGGTAATAGAAATGAACTAGAGGAAATATTGAATCTAGGAATTTTGTTAACTGTTAGTTGGTGAATCCATATCAAGAGACTTTATGTCTATCTGGTTTTCAAACTTTGAGCTTGTTTGTAAATATTGAGTTGTATTTTATTAGTAGAGAAGTGATAATCTATACGTTACATACACGCTTATTCCTTTTACTTTCTTCTCTTGCTTTGTTTGCTACATGGAGTGTGGCAGCTCGAACTGCTGCACATCGGTGCAAAGTTCTATACTTGAAAAACCCTGTTGTGGCAGGAATCTTGACGAAAAACCTGATTGGCTTTTCATTGCTTTTTCATACAACCAAATTTAGTTTGAAGTAGAACTAACTTTTTCTGGGTTTCATGTATCTGCCTTGCTACATATTATAGTGCATGCGTGATAAAAGCTTTCATCCAAATGTATTTATTTTTGTTCAAGATGTTTGTCTTATTGCTTAAAGACCTTTTTATTCAATCGGTTGATCGAAGCGTACAGTGTGCACGTTTTCATATATACCTCTTTCTAGTGATACACATCTTCAGGCCAGATAAAACTCACAGCAGTTGGACAATTCCCTTAAACCGTGAATCAGTGTGATGGACATTCAAAATTTTATCCGGTTCCTATTAATTAGAATATTTTTCGCTCTTCTTATACTATCAATTATTATGAAAGTTATGAAGGAGAAGTTGTAAGTTTCATTTTGCACATATAGAGCAATTCATCGCATACATTCATTCTAGTATCACATGGTTGTATGGCCAAAACTCTGATTCAGGTATGTCTGTGCTAACAAGAGGATATATGCTGTCTGAAATGCTGACAACAAAACTGTACAATAATTCAGTGATAACCAGTTTTCAACCGTCGACAAGTAACATGTATGGTGAGAATGCTGATTTTTTTCTCCTTATTTCACAACTGTAGGCGATCCAATACTGATAACCGTGTCAAGCATTAAATCTACTAAGTGTTGTGTATTACGCGATATTGCCTTATCGTCTTTTCACAATGCTCTTATTGGTGATCATAATGCTCTTAAAGACTATATTGTTAGTAATGCCACTGAGAAATATACACTAAAGTGAGTCGTCATCTCTCTTGCTTACTTACTTGCTTACTCATTTCTGTCATAGGCCTGGCAGTCAAGAGATATCCGTATCTGCAAGTGTCCAGTTGTCTTCTGATAATTTGAAACGTAACACCTACTCACTTGTTATCGGTCTTGTATCTGGTGCTTCAGATTCATCAGTTGAAGAAATAGTAAGTTTCATACACAAATTGTGTTCATTTTAAACTGTTACATTGTTGGTATTGGAGTCTGAGGTGTCTACTTATCGTCAGCTCTGGGATATATTACAAGTGAAGTTAAAATAGTCTTCTTAAGTGGATCGTTAAATATTAATGAAAACAACACGTAGTTCAGCAAAGAGTCTCTTTTCGGTGAATGAGATAAATAATTTAATGTGTGAGTTTTGACCAGGATGCACATAGTAAGGAAAGAAAATATGGAATTACTTAAGAGTTGTAAAGAAATACAAGAGTTATAAGGAGTTATAAAAGCGAGCATATAAACATCAAGTCAATAGAAGTCAACACAGTTGTTGCCGTGGTAGTAGAAGTGGTTGAATGATTTTCTTTTGTATACATAACTCTGGTTTTTCCAACTGAATGGTAAAGGCTTCGGCAATGCAACAAGGAGACGAATGCGTATTGCCTTTGGTAGTTTATTTATCACTTTGTAGATTACTCTGAAGGAGGAAGCATTTGTTGAGATGGAGTGGTCAGTATTGACAAGGTGTTCGATTATCACACTCCTCATAGAGCCACTACCACCTTTCTGCAATCATTCAGTGGGATAGTGTTGTTGAACCCTTTTGGACAGGAGACGCGTCGAACGACCAATCTACCTGACTCCACAGTATGAGGTGAGCTGATATATGTACACATGTAAGTGGTCAAATGCGAGATCTTGTCCTTCAGGCTTTTTCTTAACAAAGGACGACTACACGAAATTACTTTTAGCGTTGCTGCGAAGAATATTCTTCTCAAAGATGCCGAAATTCTTTTCCTAAGGGTATCGCGGGTTAACTCTTTTCTGAAATCCAGGTTCATGTGATGTTTCGTTCCTCTGGACTTTTTGTCTGATGCTCTTGTCGATGATTCTTGGTGGTTATCTATTTTGGATGAAGGTTTCTTTCAGAAGATGCAGTTATACTTCTAGGGCGTCAGGACTGCAGATGCCGCGTTGGATCCGTTTTCATTCAACAGGCACCCGACTGTAGAAACTTGTTAGTTGACCATTGCAAGTGGGTTTTTTATGGACTGACCTTCCTAAGGTTCCGTTGGGTCTTCTTATTAGTTCCACATTAAGAAAAGGAATTTTGGATCCGTTCATTAATCGTTAGATACTCTGTACAAAATGTGAACAACCGAGAAGTGGTCATGGATGAGGGCATAAACACCAGCGGCTGAGTTGGTGGTTATCTTTTCATGCATAGTCTAGTTTTAAAGAAAACCAGTTGTTATCTGCATAGCGTACTGGTTAAGTTTATCACTCCTTCGTATTCATATTTGACGCTATAAAATTTTTATCACAATGAAGTATCATTTAGATTTGTAGTTATACCACATAGTTTTTTGGTAGATCCACGATACCCTTCAGGAATAAACAACCATCTGGCGAAAATGTATTTGTAACCATTTCTTTATAAGACCGGAGAATAAAAACATTTGACTGCTGTTGGTTGGAATTTTCACGTTTCGTGAATAAGCTGTGATCTGTAATGTAATTCTATTCTATCTGTAGTGTATAGCGCAATAGTGAATTATAACAGGTATGAACGTGCATATATATGCACTCGATATTAGTCACGTTTTTTGTTTTGATATCCTTGCAGGACATATCATGCTACATTATTCATGTGAAGATACGAAAAGAAGAAAATGTGGATACAAGTATCATGTATACATTTTGGAAAACTAATTGGAATCGTTTATTAATACCACAAGTAAGTCAAAATTTTAAAAAATAACAACAACCATATCACTGTATCAAGTAGGGATCAATTTCTGAATATGGATATCTGAAAGAGAATTATATATGATTTATAGTGCAATTTGATTGATTTCGTCATACATCGCCGATGTTATTGTCTGACGGTGGCACTGTATATCGTGAATTGGTAGGAGGTAGTATTCATTTGCCATTGGATCCCCAACCTATCGGTTAATTGGTAACATGCTCATTTCAACGCCTAAAGGTATTGGGTTCGATCTCTGATCACGTCATGTGTACATACTCTAGAAGAGTCCCAAAATAGTGCAAAACAACCGTCCACTTTCTCCTGATATCCATTAGTTCTCTAACTAGTGTCGGTTGAAGCTGGGGTCTACCTTTTGATAATTGTTGGAGTTTGTGGCATGTTGACTTGATTTTCATAATGCAACTCATTTGACAAAGTGTTAGACTTCAGTCTGTACTACAAATTATCACTCAGTGCTTGCATGTTATGTTTATTCAGATAAGTAACCAAGAGAAACCTAGACAAGGTTGTACCAGTTCATGTAGCAGTGTTGTTTTGAGTTTTAGTAAAACTTTTGTCAATAATTAGAGGCAGTCTTTAATAACTGATATAACGGTATATCCATACTTTGCAAATCTTTAACTCTCTTTTATTACTGATCTCCGACTTGGTTTGTTATAATGTATGACAGGCTAAACATACGTATTGTTGTTAGATTGTTAGGGGCAATCGGCAGGAAACCCTGGACCTAGGTTTTTTCCTTTGTTGGCACTCACCAGTCAGCAGGACATATCTGCGATCTTGAAGAAATTCATGTCGCTTCAATGTTTTGAACCTGCATCATCCAGTGCTGCAGTCAGAGACGTTACCACTAGACTTAGAACGCTGGTTACTATATAGTGATAGATCTAAGTATATACATATATATATATATATATTGTTGTACAAAGTTTAAAAATAGTGTTAATGAAGAATGTGAAATATTTATTTTCTTGAATTATGTCTTGAATATAAATTAAATTCATTTGAACGAAATTTTAAACGTGGGACTTTGCACAAAAAGTACAACAGTTCAAGTCGCCACACTTCATAATTATGCACTTAGAAAGGATAGAAAAAAAAGAAAACTGTAATAAACGAAGTGTATGGAGAGAAAAAAAAATCAATATTGTAGAAAATAATAAAAGTCTGATGAATGTAGATGTTGCTGTTTGAACTCAGTTTCCTGAATAGGTCTTTTATATTTTCAAGGTATGATCCACACTTGTTATGTGATGACTGCGTCGATACTACACATTTGCGTAGGCTGAAATAGGTGAGGCGGAATTTGAACTTGGGATCTACTGAGTTAGCGTCAATTGCTAAGCCAGTGAACCAATGAGTCTCAAACCTCGGGACGGTAAAAACCAATGGTTGGAAACAAATGGTGACATGGCTCAAAATCGTTCTCAATGACTGATGCAGATGCATCCACTCCTTGTGACTTATGATTTCCACTTAAACTGTTTTGTTCTCCGTTATTACTATTCCTTTGTCTCACACCTCTGTTTACTGTCTATATTATGCATTTCTTCTACTTTCTTCTCTTGCTTTGTGTGCTACAATTAGGGAGTGTGGCGACTTGAACTGCCGCACATATGTGCAAAGTTTTATGTCGAAAACCGACCGACCGAGCCACATTTGTGAGAAGAATCTTTGAAATGATAATAGAAACTGCGGTCAAATTATCACTGAATGTAAATTCAACTTAACATCAATGTGTTGAATGTCAAATCATTGAGGTACCTATTTGTCCAATAACTTGTTACTTATAATTCTTTCCAGCCTAGATATCAGATTGACTTTGAATATGAGTAGACAACCCCAATCACCATTCATCTAGCCACCTATTGAGCCCATGAAAACACTCACCGTTCACAATAAATCACTAAAAACACCGACTAATTGACTCATTTGAACATAGAACTACTTTGCACAGATGTGCGCCAGTTTAAATGGCCACTCTCCCTGCATGTACAGCACGTGCTGCGCATAACTAACCATCGCCTCCCCCACCCCGACGGGCATTACTAGCTGATATAGGTGCAGGTTGGAAAAGAGTAAGTGGTGGCCAAACAAAAACATGGCATCAGTCCATGAAATCTCTGACAGTTAAACTGAGTCAGGTAGGGAGATGCAGACTTCCGAGTTGGGACCCGCCCTCGGGACTCTAAGAATCAATGGCTGGAGACAGACAATAGGTGACATGGCCCAAAATCGTTGTCAATGGCTTACGCAGATGTATTCAGTCTCTGTAATCTTTCTTATTCCTTTCTACCATTACTCATTCTGTTTTACTCTTATACTTGTCAAAACTCTATTGATTCTCTTCACTCATTTTCTTGTCTACCTTTGTGTGCTATTTGGAACGTGGCAACTCGAACTGCTGCACTTCGGTGCCAAGTTCTATGTTGAATCCAGACAGACAGACAAAGGAAGAGAAGACAGTAAACAGAAGTTCAACAAAAGAGAAATAATAAACACAAGTGTGTGACGGAAAAAGAATAGAAGTAATTTGGAAGAACAATAGAGTTTTATTGAATGTTACAAACCATCACATAGAGTGAATGCATCTACGTCAGCCATCACTGAGAACGATGATTTTGAGCCATATTACCAGTTGTCTCCAGCCACCATTAGTTCTTACCACTATCTCAACGACCCCGACCAGCCGCCAAGCAGTCTATACCTCCCTACGTGGCTGGCTGGCTGATTGGAGTAAACTAACCGTATGTGGATATCACTGACTGACGAAGCCATGTTTCCGTTTGACCACCCACAATAACTCTTTTCCAACCTCATCAATCCGATGTCAGCTAACCATGACTTTCGGTGGACGAAGGCGATCGATACCTAGGCATGCATGAGCAACGCATATCCTGACCATCTCATTCAATCGATATAACTTCACAACCTCACCGATTGATTTTTCATCCCTCCTTATCCAGCACTCGACTGACTCTGCAACAGTTACTCTAGGCCACGTAGGAAGGTGCAGACTTCCTGGTTGGGGTCTTCGGGACGGTAAAAACCAATGGTTGGAAACAATTGGTGACATGGCTCAAAATCGTTCTCAATGACTGATGCAGATGCATCCACTCCTTGTGACTTATGATTTCCACTTAAACTGTTTTGTTCTCCGTTATTACTATTCCTTTGTCTCACACCTCTGTTTACTGTCTATATTATGCATTTCTTCTACTTTCTTCTCTTGCTTTGTGTGCTACAATTAGGGAGTGTGGCGACTTGAACTGCCGCACATATGTGCAAAGTTCTATGTCGAAAACCGACCGACCGACCGATGAGTCTCAACATAATGAGTCCAAATTCCAGTAAGTTTGGGAGATCATAAAGAGTGAATGGATTGGCTCAAATGAGGGCAGATTTGAGTTATTTTAAGAAGTAACAGTCAAAGAATTCATGGATGCAAGCTTTGGTCTTCGGGGATTTGATTAATTCCATTATGGGTAAAATTTTTATTATGATAAAGTGTCACAGTGATGTTATACAGTAATATTTACTGATGACCACGTTTCGAGCACAAACTATTGCTCATAATCATATCAAGGTACTCACACAAATTTCTAACTTTTATATAATTCCATTATTTTCCATCGCTTGATTTGATTGGTAGTAGTATTTTCCATATTTCAGGTATGAGTGATGAGTCATTCCCATTGCACGTGTTGGCTGTAGACTCGATGAACAAGGATTCAGTAATCAACCTCTCTCTCCATCTACCTAGATTTTTTTCCTTGACGTTCCCAGTGGAATATAGGGCTCCAAGCTAGAGGCTTGAAGTTTCTGTAGCAGTGTTAATTTTTACAGGAAGGGATTGCTAGCTTCATACCCAACCTTTCTGCTTTACCAGTCGCCCTACTGGCTTAGCGAGGTAAAGGAGTGCGTCGGCTGGGGATCGAATCCCGGACCATGTGCATGGTCGACGAGGGTCCTAACCGCTGTGCCACCGACGCTCTACCTAGATTACTTTTTAAAGTTTTAACCCTCTCCCACCCACCCTATTGTGTGGTTATGTGTTAATGCATGCAGTGCAATTGCTGAACTTTTTTCTAAATTACTTATATTCTCGGGGTCAACCATTCTAACCTTAGCTAAATTCTTATGTTCTGACAATCTGACTACCCCTGACCTACTAGTTTGACCTATGTAGTTGACCTCACAGTCATTGCAGGGTATTTTGTAAATTATATTATTTTGTCTCATTGGGTCAACCCACGGGGTCCTTTAACCTACAGAGCTTGTCCTGCCTGAGTGAGTTTCTGGGTTTGAATGCCACTCTAATTCCTGCTTTATTAAGAATCCTACGTAGGGTTTCAGATGTCCCCTTCCTTTATGGTATAGTTGTAGATGCTCTATATTCTTTCTTATTTATGTTGTCATTATTAGTTTCCCCATTATTTTTATTTTGCTTTTGTCCTTTTCTGATCTTCCTAATGAATTTTATAGGATAGTTATTTGATACCAGCGCTTCTTCTATCTTGTTTTATTTCATCGTTTAGGTCTTTTCTTGTACTACTTAGTGCTACTGCCCGGTTTGTTAGACATTTAACTAAGCCTACCTGTACAGACAACGGATGAAATGAGTTAAAGTCTAAATATCTATTAGCAGAAGAAACGCTAGTGTGCAGTTTACCTTCTATTTGTTATATTTTACAATCTAACATAGCTAATTCTCCTTGTTCAATTTCCGATTCCAATGTAAATTTTATTCCCTTTACTAGTGGGTTTATATGTGTTAAGAAGCTAGAGATATGTTCTGTTTTTAACACTGTGTGAAAGTGTCATCCACATATCTTCACCATATTTTTGGAGTAGGATTAAATGTATTAAGAGCAATATTTTCCCAGCTGTCCATAAAGATATCTGCTACGATAGGGGATATTGGTGATCCCATTGCTACACCTTCTGTTTGTCTATATATTTTACCTTGGAATTTAAAGATAGTAGATGTGAGGCATAACTGAATCCCTGAAATATTTTCCTCAATGGGCAGCTTCGTCCTATGAGTGAGTTCAGGATCTGCAGTTAGTTCTTTTTTAACTGCTTCTAAAGCCATTTTGATTGGTATATTAGTATAAAGACTAATTATATTGAAACTAACCATTGTTTCGTCATTCTCTGGTTGAATGTCATTTAGTTTCTTTTTCATCTCATATGAATTAGTTAGTCTAGAGTTTGAACGATTTCTAATGGGACATAATATTAAAGCTAAGTGTTTTGATAATTCATAAGTAGGGGTATTTCTGAAATCTACTATTGGTCGTATGGGGTAGCCTGGCTTATGTATTTTAATAGTACCATATATTCTACTAGCATTATTATTTTTAGGCATTAAATTAAACCATTTAGACTCACCCAGTGACGGTTTCGTTCTACGTATTAAATCCGCTGTAGATTTTTTAACCTTATTCGTTATTGTATCTACAGGCTTCTTAATTTCCTCATATGGACCCATCTCAATATGTTCAGTGATTTTCTTGATATAGTCAGATTTATCCAAAACTACTGTAGAGTTCCCTTTATCAGCCTTTGTGATGACGATGTTTTTAATCCTGTTTTAGACTGATTGGAGCGTGCTGATGAAGAGTCCCGAGCTCCAGGACGAAACAGTTGTCCAGTACTTCTCCAGTTGTTTTCCAGTTGCTATCTAACCGACGTCAGCTCACGATTGAAATTCATGGATTGTTATCATTTTTTGCTTCGACCACCCCTAACTCTTTTCCAACTCAGTCCTTAATCAAATAACATTTCTTGATATGGAAGTTGATGAGTAGAGTAGGTATGTGTGACACGTGCCGTAACCATCTCAACAGATGCAGCCTCACAACCTCCTCCATAGATTGTTTATCTTTACCTAACGCTCAACGCTTAACTTCAACATTACTTATTCTATTACATCTACCACTTAATAGTGGAGATTGAACGCAGTCACCTATGACTAAAGACAGCCAACCAGGCTTTGCATGTCTCCCACTTCCAATGGCCATGTCTCACTCACAGTTAGCCATAAAGGAGGACGGAGTGAACTGCTGGTATGCAGTACACACGTCCTTTGGTCAATAGCCAGCAGGATCTCACGTCTAATAAGCCAGTGATGATGGTGTAATTTAGCAAATACCAAACGAGCCTTTTGTATCCATGCTGAGATTTCGTCATCAATGAGTCAGTGCGTCGTTGGGGGCTGATGCAACTTCTCAAAGAAGTGAAATGGCCGACTACTTCACTTCTGCCTATCTTTAAGCCAACTAGGTGTCTAAGTACACTGCCAAACGCCATCAGTAGTTAGAAAGCACTGACTCTGATGTATACACAATTTACTTATCTGGTAAAAATTTGACAACTGTGGTTCTCATTCGTGACTAAACTCATCTGCTATAGAAGTTGAAGATCTATCAGTATCGATTGTGGAATATCGTGAAAATTTAATTAGCCGCTGATTTATTAACCAATTACAAGAAACATTTCATGGACATTCAATGTTTTTTGAACACTTTCCCTTTTCAGTTGGATTACATTATTCGTGCAAAATAATCTTTGATTACAAATAACCATTTTGATATAAGAATAAAACTTGGGCACTGTGGTAGAGTGTAATTCCATTATGGGTAAATTTTTATTTTGATAGAGTCTCACAGTGTTATACAGTAATATTTACTGATAAATATTACTGTATAACACTGTGAGACTCTATCAAAATAAAAATTTACCCATAATGGGAATAACCATTTTTGTTATATTTAACAGAGAATTACGAATTTTTTTTCCTACAAAAAATCCTTTTTCTATCAGATTCTATTTGATGCTGGTCAAGATGCCAATAATAATAATACGGAAGAACAAACAGTCCTACCTCCTATGAAGACAACTGATACCTTGGTGGTAGACAACGGTGATAAAGACGATCACAAAACATGGAGACCGTGTTGTTTTATATGCCTATCCTCCTCCTCGGACAGTACATCATCCAGTCTACGTGTTCTCCTGCCATGTCGTCATGCAGCTGTCTGTCATGATTGTTTTCAATCCCTTCACAATTCAGCTATGTCTTCAGCGCCTCATCATCTTATCGGATTGTTAACTTGTCCACTTTGTCGAACACCGATCAATTCGACACTGTTATTACCAGTGGAATCAACAGATTGTGCGGCAACCACAACAGGGAATTTCGGTGATGATGTAGCCACTGCCACTTCTACTCCTAGTACCAGCAGCAGCAGCAGCAGCAGCAACGGTGGTGTGAGAAACCGTCGTCATGAAATTCTCTCCTACTAATATATTCTTGTAAAGCTTTTTTTTTAATTTTCAATTCTTATTGTTTCAATATTATGAGGTTTAAAGTTTTAATATTACAATTATTATTGTCGCAATGGAATTTATGAATTGCAACTCTGTATTCACTGATCACTTCACTGAACACTATTTTCAGTCGATGAATATAGGGGATGGTGGAGCACATAACACACCGCACATACGGCAACAATATCTAAATGTTTGAAAAGTAAATCAATAACTTTTCATCTTTTTTATGATAAAGCACATTCTCATCAGTCTTTCATCTATGTAAACGTCTTGTTGAAACTGTCAGCGTTCACAAACCATAATCACCGGATATGTGTTCAGTGTGAAGGAATGACTGGAAAAAAGTGAGCGTATGTTGATGAAATTGTTGGATTGGAATAATCTTCAACCGTTGAGTTGGTGATTATCTTAGAAAAAAATAACAAGGTCACTTCAGTCTTCACATTTTTGAGATGTCTCTCTTTTTTTTTCTGTACTATCCCTTACAAAATAGGATAAATATAAAATTCGTAAAGAATACTTACTGTTCATATTGTTACTATTTTGTGTTAATATTTCAGTTGAAGACGAGTGTTGATTTCATCCGCTTGACGAAAAACAGCAGCCCGCTCAACGGATACGACATATGAACTGTGCAGTTTAATTGTGAGACTGTGGAGGCATATTAGGACGATGCATTTCCATTCAAACTAGTCAGCTCCTACTTGCGTTCCCGACTTTTCAGACGAAGTTTGAGTACCTTGAAAAATGATACCGAAATATCTGTATTTCACAAAATAAAACATTACCAGCCGGGGGGGGGAATCACTGACGAAGAGAAATAGCGTTAGTAGTGTTGAATTCTGTGTAGCGTAGATATTCGTCTTCAGTTACTTTATTGTCGATATTTGTGAAATTCTTTAGCCCAGTGTCGTTACTTGTGAGTTTTACGGTTATTTCTAAAATGGTAATCTAACAGACTTTGATGGTAAGCAGGAGTGAGGACAAATACTCGCCGATGACATTGGCTGGTGTGCCAGTCGTGCTAAAATCACGAATTGGTCGAAGTTAGCATTCATGTGCTATTGGTTTGAGTCTCAGGGGCTGAGTGGTCTGCAGATTTGCCGTGTAATTGGGTGGCCCTGGGTTCGACCGCTGTTGGTGGGTGCGTACTATTGAAGAGCCGCGAACTAGGACAAAACCTCTGTCCCGTGGTGGTTTTCAATAGTTCTCTGATTGATATCAATTCGTGATCAAACTTGAAACAGATCAAGCAAACTCTTGAAGATATTCGGAAAATGTTCACCAATATCAAGATGTGTATTTATGCACACAATATTAACCTTTTTATAATGTTCTTTTATAAAATTCTACGTTCCCAATGGAACATAGGGCTTCAAGCTAGAGGCTTGAAGTTTCGGTAGCAGTGGTGTCAATCTTTTACGGGGTGGAGTTGCTAGTGTCATGCCCTCCCCTCTTTACCAGTCTTATTACTGGCTTATCCAGGTGTAGGGGTGCGTTGGCGGCTGGGGATCAAACCCCAAACCACATGCTTGGTTGGTGAGCATTTTACCGCTGTGCCACTGACGCACTGTGTGATATTTAGGTACATACAAAAAGTGTGAGGGAAAGACTATTAGGTATAGAGATAACTTTATCAGAAGCGCTCGTAGCTACAAGAATAGTAATAATTTGCTTTATTACGGAACAATACTTGTAATACAGAGTGAAATTCTCAGCATTTGGTGGTACAGTACTGCATCCAATTTACTCGACAACAGCAAAAAAATAGTATACGGGGTTTACGTAACCAGGATTAACACTATCACATAGAATACAGGCGGGCCAAATGGCGTATCGTTGAGTTTTTGTACTTGGTTATGCAAGCATATAATCTATTGTAACGACTAATAGTCCTATCTGATGATAGGCAAGGTGGCGGGGGGGGAGTGTTGAGAATAGAGTTAGACAATATGGATTTAGACCATTTCCCACATGATTTTAGGTGTCTGTCGACTACACTAGTAACAAGTTGACTTATTGGTACACCACTTGCCACACTAAAAATACTTTGGTTTTTGATCTATTATTTTGTATATATTTGTTCTGATATTGTGGAAATGTGGATTGATTTTGTATGATGAATCGCACGTGGATCCATCATTCAATAACTTCACCACTTGAAGTAATAAACTGTCTTTCATGTATATTCTTTTCAAACGACTCCTCTCCATTATTTCACTCCTTGCGTTTTGAGTGGAACATATTGGGCTTCTGGCTTATCACAATTTCAGCAGCAGTGGCGTTGTTATTAAGAGGTGGAGATATTAGCCTCATGCCCAATATTCCCACTTTTCCGGGATTACCACCGGCTAGATGTAGTTTACGAGTGCATTGGCCTGAAATTTCGAACTTGAGTCTCCCCTTTGGCTAGCTCAGAGGTCCAACTTGTCGTTTCCCAGTCGCTTCGCGACACCACTTGACGGTCTCTTAAGCACATGTCCATCTCCATTTTCATCTACATATTTGTTGAGCAATAAGTTCTTGATTGGTACGTCCTTAGAGCTTCTTGTTGCTAGTTCTCTCTGGCTATCTGGTCTTCAATACGGGCTGAAGTGAACTGTCGATAAAAGTCTGCGGTGGCTTGTTAGAAATGCTTTTCGGGACACATGAACCAAGTTTGTGACCCATATGGAAAAATATCGATGTTTAAAATCCTAATTTTGTTGTTTATGGTGGGTGCAGAAGATCTCCAAATTGATTTCAGTGTGATGAAATTGTCTGTCTTGCCTTTCTGATTCTGACTGGTTTTGACATCCTTATATTTACTGTCGCCTGTAGTTGAGACGATGCTGTCCAGTTAAGTGAAGGGAGTTACTGACGTCTTTCAAAATGACTCCGTTGATTAATGATTGGTCCTTAGCCGTTGAGGTCTACCGAATTGGATGTGAGAACGGTTATTTACCAATATTGAATGGTAGTGATTGAATTTTTCTGGAAAGTGAATAATTCAGAACATGCTAGACTATTGTTATTATTCCCTTGATTTCCGAGTGGAACATAGGACTTCAACAACACATCTCCACTTCCTTCTATTTTCTGCCATCCTCTTCAGCTGGGTCCAAGACTGCCCATAATTTCTCATCTCCAATTCGTACGATCTCCATGTCAACCTCGAACCGATGACCCACTCGTCGCTTCCCATTTGGATTTCACTCGAGGGCCTGGCGCGCGATGTCATTCGACAGCCTCCTCAATATATGCCCAATTCATCTCCACTTTCTCCTACATATTTGTTGAGCGATCAGCTGTTGGTCGGTTTGTTCCCATAGTTTCTTGTTGCTTATTCTTTCTGGCCATTTGATCTTCAGTATGTAGCCAGTGAAGGCAGCTGTTGGTGAAAGTCTGCAACCTGTTGGAAATCCTTTTCGTGACTGACACACGACGCAAGTTTCTGACTCGTATAGAAGAACTGACCGACTTCACATTGGTGTTGAAAATCCGAATCTTGTTCCTTATGCTGACTGAGTGCAGAAGGTTTCCAAACTGGATTCAGGTTGATGAAGGCGTATCTTGCCTTTCCGATTCAGGTCAGCTTTGACATATTCATCCGTTCCGACGGCTTGTGGTTGAAACGATGCTTCTTAGATAAGTTAAGGTGGTAAACTCTTTCAAATGTCTCCCGTTGATGGTGATTGGTGCTGGTTGTTGTTGCTGTTCTTTGGTTATCTTCATCACCTCCGTCTCCATCTGCCCCATGTTCACCTGCATTGCTGTTTTCGCTGCCGGCCTCTTCAGCCAATTTGTTGGTTTTCGCCTGTAAGTCTTCGAGTTTGTGTGACATTAGACATATATCATTTGCGAAATCCAGATCTTCGCTAGTAGCAATAAGAGAATTATTTGAGTGGAACCCGAATAAGAAGTAACGAGTAAGACGACCAAAGGTACCGTTGGGAATATCATTTGAGGGGAAAATCAAAGTTTGTAGGCAGTCATGAACTCCTGATGAAAGTAGTAGTAGAGGACTAAATACAACAGAGATGTCCCGCTCAGGTTTCATTTCCCATCCGAAACTCAAGGAATTAGTCATAATATGTTGATTCTTCATATCAAAATATCAATCCGAAAAGTGAACATGGTAATTCATCTTAGTGTTGAACACAATCAAACGGGGTTATTTAATTACATGTGCGTCGGTGGCACAGCGGTTAGGACTCTTGCCGACCATGCACATGGTCCGGGGTTCGATCCCCTGTCGACGCACACCTGATATCAATTGGTCGGCCTGCAAAATTTCGGCTACCGATATCACATGCTGAAAATTCCATACTTGTACCAAAAATACCGTGTGGTATCAAGCTATAATCGAAAAAAATCAATAACAACGTATATATATTTATCTAGAGTTGAGTAGTTAACAATACAGATTTTCTTTATTGACGGTCAATACCGTAAAGGGTTTTGGAATTAATTTTTTTGTAATAATGGCGAATATTTGTAGCCTAGGTAGACGTTTTTTAATGTTGGTATGCTCTCTAAGCTGGATGGTTTAACTCAGAAGTTTTCATTGTCCTTTCGGACAAAAATTTTCAACGCTAACTTCAATGTGAATTTCATTTATTGTATGATAAAAATTGTAAATTGTTGATTCATATATTTGACATTACTAGGTTACAAACTGGATAGCAATCAAGTAATTGTGAATAACTATTCTCTAATGTGCCAGCTTAGCTGAATTATTCAGTCAAATCAAGTTTGAGAGCAGAGGATATGGAATGATGGTCATGTTATACTGCGAATTACAAAAATTAGAAGTTAAAATTCATGGGCCATTGAATCGGGTCCCATGGCCTGAATCGCCTACGAGCTTGTCTTGTAATCGGGAGATTCTGGGTTTGAACCCTGGTAGTGGGTGCGAATTGCCGATGAGTCCCAAACTAGAATGAAACAGCTTTCCACTACTCCCTGGTGACTCTCAACGCTTTTCTAACTGATATCAATCCGTGGTGAAACTCGAAAATTTGAACAACCGGATTTTATTGTTGGAACTCAACTAACTGGAATAGATTTCTCATGTTATGTAAGTACTTGTGATTGATGGTACCCAGTTCCCGAGGCTGCAGCAGATAGACAGGGTTCCAAATGCGAGATCCATTGGCCGAAAGTCAATAAGCCACTGGACACCATTAACAACTTTTCTGGCCTACTTTCTCAAGAGAAGGCCCTCAGTATACCGCCTTAATGTTCTACTATTTCAAATATAAAGTTTGATAACTAACCACAGTTTGTTTGCGTCTCAATGACCTTAGTTCATATCCGCATGTTGTGTGAGCCTGCATAATGCACAACCTTACATGTTTTACTCATAAGATCTGCCTAATCAGACATTCCATGGAGGACTGTAGTAAGGGGATCGAAATTACAGTTTCACATCAAGTAGATATCAAGTGGATAATCTCAGATGTCATACAATTAAATGTCGTATGAAATATTTATCAGCCAAGAATATGTCACTTCAGGTGTCGCATTATTA